CGACTCGCACACTGAACAACGGCGTTTCCCCCGCACATCCAGCCAGTAGTACAAGAGCGTTGCAATGCTGGCTGGAAATCTCACCGGTGGAAGGGAGATCAGGGAGCCGTTGTTTAGCAGCTCAAGAAACATCGTGCCACAGACAGAACAAGAGTTGTTGTTGTACAACTCCCTATCTGTGGCACTTCCGAAAGCGTCCAGCCAGACCATGGACGACTCCAACAAACATTTTATATCCAAGTCCCTTCCCAGGTCCGATGGCTGACACCTCTCCCTCAGCTCCATCAACACCGGGGAAAGGTCCTCCGTACAAAAATGTCTGCCGGGGTCACGGACCGCAGAGAGGATGAGCCTCGTCCAACTGGGGATGGACGAAGCCTCCAGAAAGTCCCTTTCCTGAGCGAGACACCTCCGTGTGACGCCCAGGTTCAGGACGCTCTGGAGAGCAGCGTCCACCCAGCTGTAGCGGAGTCCATCGTCCGCTAGTCCATGGCCCACCAATGCCGTCCCCTCTGTCCCTGGAAAGCTGAGCCGACTTCTTCTTTTTTCCTCTCCGGGGGACAATCGATCTCTAGGCCAACGGAAATTGTTGCAGACAGAGTATTTTGAGCTTCCTCGGCCAGGGAACATCTTATTGGAAAAGTTCCTGTGTAAGACGAGCGGAGAGGAGAATTTAAAGGAAGGGCCAACGATGGGACCAGGGAAACCAAAGCTTTCTCTGTGGCGTCAGCCACAGCTTTGGCCGCGAGGTCAGTCGCAGACAAGTCTTCCCCAGCCGGGGGAGACTTCTCTACACACCGCTCCCTCGCCCTCATGTTCCGCCGTCTCTGAACAAACTTCCCCGGCCGGGTCAGTTTGTTCGTCGACAGTCGGAATCCCCTCAGGACTGTCTGGTACAGAGTCCACCACACCAGTTGTCTGCTCTGAGCAAACCTCCCCAGCCGGGCAGGTTTGCTCAGAGGCAGTGGTGTCGTCCTCTGTACGGACGGTCCTTGAAGGGATAGAGGCCGAGGTCCCACTCGGGTCGGTCTGTTCTGTGGAAGTGGGTGTTGGACCCTTCCAGAGCAAATCCTCCTCTCCACGTTGATCGGCGTTTTCTTTCGAATCCTTCCCGGAAAAGTACTGATCCGTGAGCTTCTGCATGCTGGTGGTTACCGCGTAGCCAATTCCCCAACCGAGGGGGATGAGAAAAGGGACGAATGCTTTAGCTAGGCCAAACATGACAGCTGTGTAATGATGATGCTCTACTCTGATGCTCCAGTATCTTCTTCTGGCTGATGCTTTCAGATTCAATCTTTTAAGCATCAGAACCTCTTTGATCTATTGTGATGTAAATGTCATCTATGACCTCATCAGTGACCTTATCAGTGACCTTATCAGTGACCTCATCTATGACCTCATCAGTGACCTCATCAGTGACCTCATCAGTGACCTCATCTATGACCTCATCAGTGACCTTATCAGTGACCTCATCAGTGACCTCATCAGTGACCTCACTGGACTTCAGCCGCAACGTCTTGCTTCTGATCGTTTCCATAGCAATGATCAGATCAGTTCTGCATAACTCAAGCTGATATAAAATACTTAAATAAAAGTAATATTTTGTATTTATTTAACATGAGATTAATAGATTTGTATATGATTTAATTTTGCATTTGGTCTTAAGCTTTTTATCCACCATTATTTTTAATTATTATTCATTTATCATGATTATTCATGTATTATTCATGTTTTTTTTCTTTTTATTTTTATTTTCGCAGACAATTTACTGCTGTGACTATTTTACCAAACATAGGAAACAAAAGCAGAAGAGAGATCTATGTATGAACTTATACATCCTTTTATTGAGTTCCAGAACCCAGACGTTCTTGGTTTGGGTCATTCAGGAAGCTTTAGGGATGAAAGTGCTTCATGATTGTATTTTCAGAGGCAGATTTTAAGAGTTTGGGTCGCGTGTTATTCTGGGATGTAGACGTGTGTAGGAATCCCCACGATGTCAGTAAAACCGAGTATCATGCCTTAGTAGGTTTGTGTGTGTGTGTGTGTGTGTGCGTGTGTGTGTGTGTGTGTGTGTGTGTGCGTGCGTGCGTGCGTGCGTGCGTGTGTGTGTGTGTGTGTGTGTGTGTGTGTGTGTGAAATAATGATGATTAATAACTTCCTGTTTGCAATGTTCAGGTACAACGACAGAAATAGCTGCTTCAATATTCCATTCATGGGCTCGTTAATTCCAGCCGACAGTAAAAATAATAAATAATACATGAATAAAAGCCGCAGTGGCCACAAGGTGATGCTGTTGCTCTGGATTGCCACCTGTGGATTCTTGACATCTAACAGCTGAAAGAGTGAAAGCAACTCAATCTGTTGTTGAAATGACTCTGAAAGAGTGAAATACATGCAAATTCTGGAGCAAAACCAAGTAAAATCGGCTCAGTTGTTGATTTAAATCTGCCAAATGTGCTCTGAATGTTTTGTTTGCTCCATTGACTCACTGCTTCCTCAGAAACATTTCTCACTGCTGTTTGTTCTGGTTTTTGCTTCAGTTTCTTGTCTTCACCAACGATGTGGAACCTTCAAAACCTGCAGCTCATGTTGTGCAGTAAGTTATAACATTTGATTTTGAGGAAATTGTCTTGCTGGGTGTTGATTCTTCTCCAAACAAGTTTCTTTAAAACAAATATTTCTGCCAGGTGATTAAGAAAATAGAAAAAGAACAAGCTTTTCATTGCATTTATTTCATGGGAACAGATCTGAAAATGATAAAAAATTATACACAATGTTAAAGAGGAGAAAATACTTGAAAACTCAGTTAATGTTGTCTTCTCTCTGCAGCAGCTCTGAGCTGTGTGAGCGGCGCCGCAGGTTTGATCCGTGTGTTTGGATACGAGGGGAGCGATGTGACGGTTTCCTGTCCGTACGATCCAGGATATGAGAGATACCAGAAGTACCTGTGTAAGAACAGCTGTGGCTACAGTGATTTTCTCATCAAGACCTCACAAGAAAATGAAACCAAATACTCCGTTTACGACGACAAAAGAGCAAGAGTCGTCGCAGTGACCATCTCTGGTCTTCGTTTGGAGGACGCCGGGGAATATTGGTGTGGAGTGACCAGAGCAGGAAAAGACATCTACACTGAAGTAAAGCTGGACGTAAAAGCAGGTAAATAATCAAACTCTTAATCATACGAATAATAAAGTATGAGCTCACTGGTAGATGCAGAGAAAAAAGCTGAATCCAGGGAGGTCGGTGTGTGTCAAGGTGGATGGTGGAAACATGGGAATGATAAATTACTTTTCTACTAATTTCATTTCTACATTGAACGGATTGTCCTTAGAAATAAGACAAAGCAACAAATTAAAGGCAGAAGAAGAAGGATAAGTAAGAAAAAAAAACCTATGGATGATCCACGTTGATTCCTTTTTTTGTTTAAATAATTCATTGATCAGTTATGCTGCCGAACTGAACAAGACTATGACCACAACAGCAGCTGAAATATAGACATAAGATGTTTTTGATTGAATAAAGCACAAAGATGGCAGCTGGAGAGTGTTACACTTAAATGAGTCATAATTTAAAAACAAATTCACATAGAAGAGAATAAGATTGATACGACTGAACACAGATTGCCTAAAACAGAACAACAGCAAAATAGTACCTCATATTGTTTGAAGCACATTTTTGAAACTTCATCAAAATTTTGAATGTTTTGTATTAGATCAGAAATTTGTTTCATTCAAATGAAAACAACAATACAATAAGAGATTTGTGCTTTTTGTTTACTGTCATATTATTTCAGTATTTAATTGTTAAAAACTTAAAACATATGATATGAACATTCTACTATTTCTGGCCTGGACAAGTACGTCAAAGTTTTCAAAGATTTCTACATTTCTGTCTCTTTGCTTCTTAGAATTGCATTTTTCTGTAACTTTTGCTGTAGAAAACAGTTTTTTCTTCCTGTCAGACAGATGTTGCAACACGACGAATAAAATCCAAAGTACTGAGGAAGGTTCAGTGACCATCAGCTGTCCGTACGACTCTCAGTCTGTCGACAAGCTGAAGTTCTTCTGCAGAGGAAACCGGCCCTCCACATGTCGACAGCAGGCAGTGATCAACTCTAGAAACACACAAGATGGACGATTCAGACTCTCTGATGACAGGAAGTCAAGAATATTCACAGTGACCATTTCCAGTCTGACCCTGAAGGATTCTGGTCGTATCTTTGTGGAGTCCAGAGAATCTCAGGATTTGATGTTTTCTCTGCCCTTAAGCTGGAGGTCAAAGGTGAGAGATGAAACCCTTACCTCAAATTCTTTTAAGTGGAACATTTCTTAATGAAAGAAATCTGGGTAGAATTGACAAAAAAAAACCCACAGGTGACAAATATAACATCATCAAAAATTAGATAAGCTTGATAATTTTTTTTAAAATATGTCATAAATTATGATGTACAGTTTAGATCCATTAACATTGATGCCACGGATGTCCTCGATTGTTGTAGACCTTGATGCTGCAGCATGAGCTGCGTTTTTCTCTTGTTTTTTTACATAGTTGGCCTCATTTTACTTCTTGGTTGTGACAGAAAAAGGAGAACAAAATGCAAGAGGAGAAAAAAACCTCGAGGTTCTGCCACCTAGCATCACGACAGAAGGTGAGAGAGACCAGGCCACACACACACAAAACAGAGAGACCGGGCCACACACACACAAAACAGAGAGACCAGGCCACACACACACAAAACAGAGAGACCGGGCCACACACACACAAAACAGAGAGAACGGTTTCAGTAGGCCTCCCTGTTGCAGCAGGAATGGTAAGTTTAGCAAATGACAATGTCTGACCTTCTTCAATTGCCCTCCAAGTTTTCGATCTTGTCGCAGACGGTGAGGTTTTGAAAAACATGAGGAAACGGGGCAGAGAGGGATCTTATGCTTTCACTGTGCTCCTGGTTGAAACTGTGCATTTGTGTTGACATGTTTTGTGTTATTTTTTTCCTCTTTGGTTTTCTATTTTCATAGATCATCTGACCATGTGTGGAAATTTCAATGCTCAGAGTTCACTTAACCTGAATGTGCTGAGATGTTTGGCTACTGTAGACGAAAGATCACGGTAAAAAAAAAAAAATACAATGTGTTAAAATTGAGTTGTTTTATTTTCTGTAACAGTGCATCAGCATCAGAGCAGCATTACTACCACACCACCAGCATCAGAGGAACAGGATAAAGGTACTGTGTGTGTTTGATATATTGAGAGACCGCACAAACAAAACTGCACACGCTCTCCAATTATCACCTGAATATTAAAGACAAGGGTTTATGAGATTGCTGCTGGCTTTCTGCGTTTCATATTTCAGGAAGTGAATATGAATAATATTGCAATCAGAAAGTCGCTAGTGAAATCACCACAAGTGTTACAAGTGTGTAATATTTACCGACAGAATCATATTTCTTTTTTATATACAACTGTAAACCCAAAGTGTTTATTACCTCTGGCAGGTTTTGTTTCTACAGCTTTTCCCAGACAATCACAAAATTAGCTGCTGACAAGAAATGAAACAGTGTGAACTGTGTGTCAGTTTTGGTCAAAATAATTTAGATGCTTTAATTTACATTCAAATAGACACACCATGTGGGAAACCTTTACTCTTCTTATTAACAAGGTTGAAAACCTTTTATTAGCATTGAAGCAGCCAAGCTGACTTTAAAGTTGCTGACCAGCTTTTGACATGTTTCCACTGGATGTTTGATGAACTCCATTTCTTTGGAAATCCTCCTTGCCGTCATCCTCAGATTCTCTGTTAGAGTCAAGTTGAGATTTCTCCGCAGCACCATGGCTTCCTCTAAGAAGAAGAAGCACACTTCTAAACTTTAACTACTTTCTTTAGACCTAAATGTTTAATTTCCCAGGAGTATGAATCATTTCGGGTTTAACTTTAACTGTAACAACATGAAATCTACACTGACAGTTTTTTTCTTCTTTTTCCTGGCAGTGGATTATCATCAGAGCACCACAATGAAAACCACAACACCACTGGTTTCTGAGGAACTGACTGAAGGTACTTCATGTACTCATGGAAACATACAGACACATTTGGTATTGAGTTATTAAGATAGAAAACAATATTTTAAAGTAAAAATATTTAAAAAAATAAAGCATGTTAATGTTTCCTCTCTCCAGCACCTGTAAGCAGCGCTGCAGGTTCGATCCAGGTGTTTGGATATGAGGGCGGAGACGTGAACCTCTCCTGCCCCTATGATCGGGGATTCGAGGGTCGTCAGAAATACCTGTGCAACAACGACTGTCATTACGCCGACGTTCTTATAACAACATCACAAGGAAGCAGTGGAAAATACTCCATTCACGACGATAAAACAACCCAGTTTTCACAGTGACCATATCTGCCCTTCGACTTCATGACGCTGGGAAATACTGGTGTGGCGTGACAAGGATAGGAAAAGATATAAGCATTGAAAGAAAGCTGGAAGTAAAAGCAGGTAAATATTGAAGTTGGTGTTTCAAAACATGTCAGTAAAGATTAGGACAAGACAAACAATAACCGTTTTTATATGTGGTGTCTAATGTACTCAATGAGTAATGCAGGTTAAATAATGTTTTATTAGTTACTTATTTAAGTTATAACTAGGCATGATACACACACTGACTGCTTCCATTACTGCTTGATACTGATAAAGCAGTAATGCTTTATTACTGCATTATAAATAAATAAATAGAAATGAATAAATTGGAATAAATTACAGTAAACAAGATAACAATATTCCTTGAGGAGTTTTTGTTTCTTTCAATTAATCATTGTTTTTATGCTCAAAGAGGAGGTTATTTTTTATATTGTTGTTTATCTTAATGTCAGACAGATGTTGCGACACGGTGAATAAAATCCAAAGTACTGAGGAAGGTTCAGTGACCATCAGCTGTTCGTACGACTCTCAGTCTGTCGACAAGCTGAAGTTCTTCTGCAGAGGAAACCGGCCCTCCACATGTCAACAGCAGGCAGTGATCAACTCTAGCAACACACAAGATGGACGATTCAGACTCTCTGATGACAGGAAGTCAAGAATATTCACAGTGACCATTTCTAGTCTGACCCTGAAGGATTCTGGGTCGTATCTTTGTGGAGTCCAGAGAATCTCAGGATTTGATGTTTTCTCTGCTGTTGAACTAGAGGTCAAAGGTGAGAACCCAAGCAGGCTACCTCGATTTTTTGTGATTTCATCCTATTTTCTCTCAAAAAAAAAACCAATAAAAAACACCAATGTCTCTATTTTCATTCAGCAGAGTCGTGCTGTGCAAAGTCACAGAACATGAGTGGTGTGATGGAGCATAGTGTGACCTTCCTGTGCCCTTATGCACCCCAGCATCCCAATGACACAATGTTCCTCTGCAAGGGAGACAGAGCCAGCAACTGCACAGACATGATGGATCAAAGTCGGTTCATTCTGATCAATGTTTCCTCCAGCTCTTTCTCTGTGACAGTCACGAAGCTGGAAGCAGGAGATGCTGGAACGTACTGGTGTGGCTCCGGCCCAGAGGCGAATGTTGGAAACTCCACCCGCTTTCATCTTTCTGTAGGTGAGAGAGGCATCTACAGAAACCACCTCACTGAAAACAACCTCAGTTTTGTACATCAGGTGTAAAAACATTTAACAATTTAAACTCAGCCAAAATTCAGCTTGAATGGGATTCAAGTGCTCTTGGGTTCGCACAAACTTACAGAATAAGTGAATCCCCACTGTTTGCCAGCTTCATCACCAACTGCATGAGATCATGTCAGTCTATTTGGGTGATGCTGTGTTTGCTGCGGAAGCTGAGAGCAGATGCTTTCTGCATGAAAACAGAAAAATAAGTGACACTATGTAGAGAAAACCATCGGGGAAAAGTGTATCCTGAACACGTCATCTCTTGGCTTTAGTGGATTGTTTGAAGGATTTGGTTGATATGGTTTTTTTTTTTTGCCAACTAGACAGTATTTATTTTGCTGTCCAAGGTTAGAATCTGGAGACAGATTGGTTGGTTGATGTCTATTGAGAAGAGCTCAAACCAAAACCTCTGCTCATTATGATCCTTTGTTTAATTTTTCAGGTTCTGTTAGTGACCTGCAGAAGATAACTCTTATAAATCCAGGTAGTTGGTTCTGTAGAGGATGAAGCCTTTATCAGTGTCTCAGGAGTTTATGTGAAGGTGTTTTTTCCTCCTAAAACCGATGTGACAACATGTTCAAGTCAAACCACCTGGATTTATGCCTAAAAGCCTTAATTATCTCACTTCAAACACTCTAAGTTGTTATTTTAATGTGTTTGAGAAATAGCGTTGTATGTGCATAAACGTTTCTTCTCTTTTTTCTAATCATGGCAGACGCGACTCTCCACCAACTTTCAGATCCAGCTTTCTATGCCCTGCTTGCTTTAGCTGCTGGGCTGCTGCTGATGGTGACATTGGTCCTAGTTAAAGTTTACAAGAATAAATGTCACAAAACATTGAAAGGTGAGCTTGTTTTTGTCTTCAATGTGAAGACAAAAATTGACATAAATCAATTCCATAATGTATGCATCTTTTTTTTTTTTTCAGAGAGAAAAGTTTCCAGATAAAGAATCGAAGCTTCGGTTTGCAGACACATCAGCTGCAGATGTTTTAGAGGACGTCCAAAGCTTCGTCTGCGGGGGTCGTGGGGACGATATGAAATAATTCTCAATGGACTATTTAAGCCTAAATTAATGTGAATCTTTATTTAAGTACTCAGATTAGATTTTTTAGGTCTTATTTCAGAGCAATTTTCATTTGTCAGAGGTGAAAAAAAAGGGAAAGGAGGACAAACAGCTAAACCAGCAAAATAAAATAATTATCTCACAATGTCAAACTATGCACAAATGAGGAAACGCAATTGTATCTGTAAAAATGAACAAAACATGACAGGTGTAAGCAGTGTGAGAAATATCTAAACTCTAAACTGCACATCTAAATGATAGAATAAATGTGAATAAACTGGAGCTTTGAATTGAAATGTGTTCGTGAGGATGGCTCAGTGTCCAGTGATGACAGGAAGGCATCAATATTCACTGTGACATCTTTCAATCTGACTGAATGACTCTGGGTCAGATTT